AGCCGTTTGGGGGGCCTCTCTGAGCTGACTTGGGGCCCTCTTGGAATGCTCCAGGGCCGTCTAGGAGGCCATCTTGGGCGTCTTAAAAGCCTCCTGGGCCGTCTTGGGGGCCTCTTGGGGCCGTTTTGGGGGCCTCTTGGGCCGTTCTGGGGCCATTGGAGGCCTCTTGGGCGATCTTTGGGCGATCTTTTGGGGCTCTTTCTTCGGCCGTATCGAGCCGTCGGAAGGCCGAAACGAAGCAAATGTCAAAATCCTTCGAAAACCTGTGGGAAATTAGTGTTTTTGGCCTCTTCGGGCCTTCCTGGAGGCCCTCTTGGAGGCCTCTTGAGCCGTCTTGGGCCAGCTTCGAGCCAACTTCGGCCATCTTGGTGGGCTCCTGGCCCGTCTGACGCCGTCGGAATCCGTTTGGGGGGTCTTTCTGGGCCGATTTGGGGCCCTCTTGGAATGCTCCAGGGCCGTCTTGGAGGCCATCTTGGGCGTCTTGGAGGCCTCTTGGGTCGTCTTTCTCTTGGGGCCGTCTTGGGGGCCTCTTGGGCAGTCTGGAGGCCATCTTGGAGGCCTCTTGGGCGCTGTGGGGGCGATCTTGGGGGCCTCTTGGGCCGTCTTGGGTCGTCGGAAAGCCGAGAAGAAGCAAATGTCAAAATCCTTCGAAAACCGATGGAAAATAATTAGTGTATTTGGCCTCTTCGGGCCCTCCTGGAGGACCTCTTGGAGGCCTCTTGGGCCGCCGTGGAGGCCTCTGGGGGGCCCCTTGGGCCGTCTTGTGCCGTCCTGGACTCTCTTGGGCCGTCTGGGCGGCCGTCTTGGACCATCTTGGGCGGACTTGAAGGCCATCTTGGACCATCTTGGAGGCCATCTTGGGCCAACGTGGCCATCTTGGAGGCCATCTTGGGCCATCTTGAGCGAAACATTGGGGAATTGTGCGGCCTTTCGGGTGGCCGGCGGGACGGGCCGAAGCCCCAGAGGGAGTTCTTTTGGAAAAAGAACCAAAATCCAAACCGAAATAGTTTAGCACGCCAGGCACCCCTGCGATGAATCGACAGGGGGCGGCGGATCTCTAGCTGACTTCGGCTCAACTCGCCACCGTGCCAGGGCTGTGGACCAGTTGCCCTTGGTCTCCTGGGAGGCCTGCTGGGGGTCTCCTGGTGGTCCCCCCGTGCACTTCTTTCGGGGTCCGCTTGGGGCCTCCCTGGGGGCTCTTCGGGGGCCTCCTGGCGATTTCAGGGGCCATCTCGGGGGAAATCCTCCAGTCATCCTCTCGGCTGCCAGCGCCGCGCGAGCTTCACGGCCCGCATGGTGGGTCGTCGTCGTCCGTCGTCCATCGTCGCCCCCCTCGCAGGCTTTTGTGACAGCATCTTCGTGCATCACCACCTACCAAGCCACTCCAACCCAACCCGAAGGCCCGAATCTGTCCTCCATTCCCAGGGGTGGGGGGGCGGGGAGCAGTGAAAATGTGGAACCCGTCCCCCCCAATCCGAAATTTGGGTCTTCGGGTCAGGGTGGGGTGGGGACTGATGGAAGTCGATTAATGGAGAGGAAGCATGCTGCCAAATGATTTCCAGATGCCTGGAACCTGTTTCAAGCATGCTCTGAACACGTAAAAGCATGCTTGAAGCATCTTTAGAACATGCTCTAGACATTTTTCTGAACACACGGATAATTCAATGGTCGGATTGTCAGAGTGTCCATCCCGTACTCTGCACCCTCCGGCCGCCTGAGGCCGCGCCCGCCCGCGCCCTGTCTCCCCCATTTAGGGCTTCGCGCGCCCCGCCGAGCTCTTAACCCGAAGGGGCCCGCTCCCGACCCGCCGACCAAAAAGTTAAGAGTGTCCATTGCCGTGGCACCCGCAGGCGTTGACGGCAGGACCACGCTGGGCCCACGCGGGGCTCCGGCTGTCGGGCCGCTCCTCGAAAGTCGCAGGCGGGGGGAGCCTCCTCGTGGCCGGGGCTCGCCGTGGCCGGGCGGAGCCCCGTCGTTCCGAGCTCGGCGCTCCTCGTGCTGGCTGGCACGGCGACGGTATTTTCAAGTCGGGCGTGTCCCCCTACACGGGGAGTTTCGACGAAACATAGAACGTACCCCAGAAAGATTCCCCAAATGCTCCAAAAATAGTCTGGGGACTCTTTTTATGGTATTTTTGGACCTTTTTTTGTTCCCAACCCTCCTGCGTTGGGTTCTCGTTTTGAATAGAGCACTGCTCGCGCGTCTCCTTCCTTCCTTCCCGCCTTCCCGCCCCTCTCTTCCCCCTTGCCTTTCGCCTCGCTCGTCGCTGCGTGCCAGCTGGGGGGCTGCGATCTGTGAAACTGTCGCCACTTTCGAGGCCTGCTGGGGGGCCCAGCACAGTGGGTACTCACGGCAGACTCAAATGGGACCTCGCCATCCCTGGGGGGCTGCGTTCTGTGAAACTGTCGCCACTTTCGAGGGCTGCTGAGGGGCCCAGCACAGTGGGTACTCACCGCAGACTCAAATGGGACCTCGCCATCCCTGGGGGGCTGCGATCTGTGAAACTGTCGCCACTTTCGAGGGCTGCTGAGGGGCCCAGCACAGTGGGTACTCACCGCGGAGTCAAATGGGACCTCGCCATCCCTGGGGGGCTGCGATCTGTGAAACTGTCGCCACTTTCGAGGCCTGCTGAGGGGCCCAGCACAGTGGGTACTCACCGCAGACTCAAATGGGACCTCGCCATCCCTGGGGGGCTGCGATCTGTGAAACTGTCGCCACTTTCGAGGGCTGCTGAGGGGCCCAGCACAGTGGGTACTCACCGCAGACTCAAATTGGACCTCGCCATCCCTGGGGGGCTGCGATCTGTGAAACTGTCGCCACTTTCGAGGCCTGCTGGGGGGCCCAGCACAGTGGGTACTCACCGCAGACTCAAATTAGACCTCGCCATCCCTGGGGGGCTGCGATCTGTGAAACTGTCGCCACTTTCGAGGCCTGCTGGGGGGCCCAGCACAGTGACGCCACGGGCAGACTCAAATTAGACCTCGCCATCCCTGGGGGGCTGCGATCTGTGAAACTGTCGCCACTTTCGAGGCTGCTGGGGGCACAGCACAGTGGGTACCCACACGCAGATTCAAATTAGACCTCGCCATCCCTGGGGGGCTGCGATCTGTGAAACTGTCGCCACTTTCGAGGCCTGCTGGGGGCCCAGCACAGTGACGCCACACGCAGATTCAAATTAGACCTCGCCATCCCTGGGGGGCTGCGATCTGTGAAACTGTCGCCACTTTCGAGGCCTGCTTGCGGGGCCCAGCACAGTGACGCCTCCCAAGTAGCTTACACATCAAGTTGATTGTCCATACAAGTTTCGGCCAACTCCTCGTTTCCATTGATACAAATGGGTTGGGTACGTCACAGGGTAATTTATTTTCTTTTGTTTTGTTTTTTCCCCAATCATAGCTTGCCTCTGTAGGGGTCCTAGCGGATTTAAGGGTAGGTGAGGTGCGCCGCCGATTCGGTGGCCGGGCCCGGGTGCCCGGGTTCGCCGCCGATTCGGTGGCCGGGCCCGGGTGCCCGGGTGCCCGGGTGCCCGGGTGCCTGGGTTCGCCGCCGATTTGGTGGCCAGGCCTGGGTGCCCGGATGCCCGGGTGCCCGGGTGCCCGGGTGACGGGTGCCCGGTGCCCGGGTGGGTGCCCGGGTGCCGGGTGCCGGGTGCCCGGGTGCCCCGTGCCCTGTAGCCCAATAGCCTTATAGCCCTATATCCCTGTCGCCCTATAGCCCTATAGCCCTATAGCCCAATAGTCTTTTCTTTTAGCCCTGTAGCCCCAAACAAATTCTGATTGTTTTTTGTTTTCTCCAGTATCATTTTTGTTGTTTTTTTTTGTTTTACTTTTCGTCGAAATTTCCGTGTAGGGGGACACGCCCGACATAACAGTATTTGGGACAGGGCGAGCTGGCTGTCCCCTCGCGCCCCCGACGAGGGGCAGGTCGGCCAGCGGGGCCAGGGTCGCCCTGGCGGGGATGCAGGGCCCCCATTTCGATCCGATCGGTCCAATTCGACATCCTCCTCCTCCTCCTCCTCCATCTCCTCCTCCTTCTCCTCCTCCTCCTCCTCCTCCTCCTCCCATTTCGATCGGATCGATCCGACTCGACATTGGCTCCCGCTGGCCCGATGCGATTCGATTCCGATGTGCCGGCGTTCTGGTGCGGCCCAGTGCCTGCATGGCGCCGTCGTGCATGCGGGAGGCAGCCCGGCCGACTCGATCTCGACTCCGTGCAGATGCGGCCCGACCCGATGCACCCTGCGACTCGATCCGATTTCCTGGCTCCGTGCGGAGCAATCCCGCCCAGGCCCGGGCCTCCTCTCGCCCGACGTTCTGTTCCGAGCCGTGGTGTCGAGTTCGTCGTCCCATGAGTGCGCGCTGCTCCTTTCGCTTCTGTCCGCGCGGCCTCTCTCACGTGTCTGGGGCGGCTAGAGGTGCCCCTGGTCCAAGGTGCCCCAAGCTTCTCGCTCCATTCTGGAGCCCCCTGGGGCCCCCTGGGCCCCCGTGAGAGGTGCTCTGGAGGCCGCGGGGGCCTCCCTGGAAATCCTGGGGGCACCTTGGGCCAGGGGCACTTCTAGCAACGCCCTGATTTGCATGCCAGGAGTATCCATGAGTGGTGGAACCGTGTGTCGGGGTCCCCCTCACCATACTTGCACTATATGTGCGCCGCCCCCCCAGGGGCGACGCGCGCACTGAGGAACCTTATAGTACATGCGTCGTGGCAGGCGCTTTCTGGCCGCACCGCTCGGGAAACGATATACTACAAGACGGGTCTACTTTTTGTTCGGTTCGGAGGACATAGACATATAGTACTAGTACACGTCGTTTATTTCTAATCGTGCTCATTTCTAATTGTGCTCGTTTCTAATTGTTCCTGGCCCCCTAGTGGCCAGGAAGAGGCCCAGGATAGAACAAGTGGAAATGAAAGGATCTTGGCCCCCCAAAAATCAAAGAGATTTCGAAGAATAAGACATGGACGATGTGTATGTCTCTGTGCGTCCCAGTGTGTGCCCGGGAGAGGACACGATGTGCACCTACGCGCACGACAAGACCGAGCTCCGCCGCACGGGCAAGGCCGGCCGGAGGGACGGAGGCGGGGGCGGAGCCAGACGAGCAGGAGGAGGAGGAGGAGGAGGAGGCAGAGGGGGTCATCAGGAGAACGGGAGGAGGAGGAGGAGGAGGAGGAGGAGGAGGAGGAGGAGGAGGAGGAGGAGGAGGAGGAGGAGGAGGAGGAGGAGGAGGAGGAGGAGGAGGGAGGGAGGAGGAGGAGGAGGAGGAGGAGGAGGAGGAGGAGGAGGAGGAGGAGGAGGAAGGGACACGGAGGAGGCGGATTTGCGGGGGAAGCAGAGGAGGAAGAGGAGGGAGGCGGGCTGGGGGGGGGACTGAGGACGACGATGTGGAGGAGGGGGGATGAGGAAACCACTCCGCCAGCGTGCCAGTGCAGCACCGAAATTCTTGACGCTTCGCGTGTCACCGCCAGCCCATCTAGCAACGCTACCCAGGCAAGTTGCATTGACCAGGGAAGTGTGGGAGCACGCAGTGGAACAAAGAGGGGGCTCCGTCAAGCCGAAGATCCGGATCAGTCTGAGCAGGCCCAGTAGTGAACCATGAATACTTTCGCGGATCTTTCCGCACGAAAGCGTTTTGGCGGCTTTGTTGGGCTATCTAGGGGCCCTGTTGGCGCCATTTTGGCATCCTTTGGGACCCTCCTGGCGTCCTCTTGGGACTCTCTCTGGGCCCTCCTGGCGGCCCTGGGGCCCCTCTTGAGGCGATCTTTGGAGGCCGCCGGTCAAGATGGGGATTCTTACTTAGCGGCGCCCCTCAAGGGCCTCCAAGCTCGCCTCTTGGGCCCGTCTTGGGGCGCTGCCGTCTTGGGGCCCTGTTGGGTCATCTTGGAGCCATCTTGATGCTTCCAAACCCATCGGGAGCGAACAGACGAGAACGTTCCACACATGGAATTCGTTTAGGTTTTGGAAGGATCTCGGCTCCGTGGAGGCGTCTTTGGGAAGGCTCCAGGGCCACTTGGACCTGTCTTGGAACGATCTTGGAGCCTCCTGTAGCATGTTGGGAGCCGTCTTGTGGGCTCTCCGAGGCCTTCTTGAAACCATCTTGGGCCATATCCAACGCCTCGCTGCCCCTCCATCCCAGACCCTCTACACTACGTATTAACATCTGGGGGCCTCGTCACGGGGTCAACTGGGTTGCGCCAGTTGGCTTGATTACGATCCCTCGTAGAAACGTTGGATTCGCATCGCGGCGGCAAGATTTCGGGCATGCCGATGCCGCGATCCCTCGTAGAACGCGCACGCGTTGCGACGGCAAGATTTCGGCCCTGCCGATGCTGCGATCCTTCGTAAAACACGTCGGATTCGCGTCGCGACGGCAAGATTTCGGGCCTGCCGATGCCGCGATCCTTCGTAAAACACGTCGGATTCGCGTCGCGACGGCTTGCGCGGAGCGCACGTCGGGCCACCTCGGAGGCGCTCCCGCTCGTGCCGGCTCGCACGGAATGCTTGTTGGGCCGCTCCAGAGCGCTTGGAAGCGCTTGGGAGGCGCCAGGGGTAGGGGCATTCCAAGATTCGCGCCCAGACTGGGAGGACTTCTCAGGCGGTTTGTCTGTTTCGGTCCATAGCATATTCGGCTGTTGGAACAAATGTTTACGATGTCTCAGGCGGGGCTCTGGTCTCAGCATTCCCAAGGGGGGACGCCAGGGGTGGTGACATTCCAGGATTCGTGCCCAGGTTGTGGGGAAGTCTCAGGCGGTTTACTTGTTTCGGTCCCCCAGACTTGCCTTTGGACTTGTGTTACCTAGACGCCCCCGGACTTCACTCACTCACTCACTCACTCATTCACTCACTCACCTATCTTCCCATCTTCTTCTTCTTCTTCATTCAGACACTCAGACGCATTCGCAGTCATATTTACTCATCATCACTTCTTCCTCAGTCAGACGCACGCAGCACACTCGGACACAGCAGTACCCATATTCGCTCATACCCAAACTCGCTCATACCTAAGATCGCTCATATTCAGAATCGCTCACACAGGCTCACCCACACGCAGGCTAACTCACACTCAGATTTGTCGCATTCAGATTCGCCCACCCTCAGACTCACTCATGCTCAAACTCACTCGTACTCAGACTCACTCATACCTGGACTCGTAATCATCATATTCGCACCCAGACTCACTCACACTAGTACTTACTCACACTCAGGCTGACTTACACTTAGTCTCACCCACACTCAGATTCACCCGTCGTCAGACTCACACGTACTCAGACCAACTCAGACTCAGACTCATATTCATCAACTTGTTATCTGACCCTCTCACACTGAGATTCACCGACAGTCAGACTCACCTTCATTCAGACGCATTCATATTCAGACCCACGCGTGATCAGACCCACTCGTACTCAGGTTCTCTCTTCATACGTCGAGTCGCACTCACATCCAACATTTTCCACGTTCACTCACACTCAGATTCGCTCACATTCAGACTTATTCACGCGCAGATCACTCACGCTCAGATGCGCTCAGCCGTTTTTTCTCTTGCTGGTCCAATGCTCTCCGCGAAATAACAGGCGTGGCGTTCGGTACCCCAATGGGGGAGCCGGCAGGGGTGGGGACACTCCAGGGTTCGCGTTAAGATTGTAGGGTATGTCTCAGGCGGTTTGCCTGAGGCTGCCTCCCCAGGTTTTTGTGGTCCAGTGGTTACCACGATATAAGAGGCGTACCCCAAGGGGTGCCGCCAGGGGCGGAGGGACATTCCAGGATTCGCGCTCAGATTGTGTGGATGCCTCTGGCGGCTTGCCTGTTTCTGCCCCCCCCTGACTTTTTCCTTTTTGTTCTCTACTGCTCACTGTGATATTGCAGGCGTGGCATTTGGGCACCCCAAGGCGGAACCGCCATTTCTGGGGTCACTCGAGGATTCGCGCTCAGATGTGGGGCATGTCTTAGTCGGTTTGCCTGTTTCCTTGTTTTTGCCACCCCACTCTTTTCTTCGGACTCGTGTGCTCCTCATTCACTCACTCTTTCGCTCACTCAGCTCCTTCCCCTGTTCCCCATACGCTCGCACTCATTCGCGCTTGGACTTGCTCATCAGCACCTCTTCCTCACTCCAACTCTCTCATCACATTCAGACTCGCTCATACTTGGATCTGAACATATTCAGAAAGACATAGCTACTCGTTCATGTTGAGCCTCGCTCAATCTCAGACTCACCCACAGCCGGGCCAACTCACACTCATATTCTATCACACTCAGACTCACCAGCCCTCAGACCCACCCATACTTAGACTACTTCGCACCCGCGCTCACTTATATTCAGATGTTTATCCATCGCATTCAATTCAGACTTGCCCACATTCAGACTCGCTCGCAGTCAGACCCACTCGCGCTTACACTCGCTAGCACTCAGACGCACTCATACTCAGACCTGCTCGCAAACAGACTGACTATCCGGACATACTCACACTCAGGGTCGATCGTAGCCGGATCCATTCGCTTTCCAGCTCGTTCACGCTCATATCACCCACACTCAAATTCAGTCGCATTGAGGCTCACACTCACACAAATTGTTACCGCGATATAGCCCGCGTGGCACTTGGGCACCCCCAGTGCCAGCAGGTGCCGCGAGTAGCACTCCAGAGAGCGGGCTTAGCATCGCCATGCGCGGTTGCTTGAGTTGCTGCGGGGAGAACGGCAAGATGAATTCCCTCTCGCTCTTCCACTTGTTTTTCCTTCGTCTCTCCTGAAAAATGTCCAGAGGAGGAGGAGGAGGAGCAGGAGGAGGAGGAGGAGGAGGAGAAGGAGGACGTCACTGAAGTTGTCGCTGTGGTCGTCGTCAGTGCCGCGCCATTACGTCTACGCGAGCTCGCTTTCACACCCAGGTGCTCATAGACAGAGTTCCCTAGCGAAGCGTGACAGGAGTATAAGATGCACATATGGGGATCTCCGCGTCGAGTAATTATCCAGACCGCGTCGACCCTTCCTTCCCAACTTGCCTGTTTCTCCTCTTCCTCACACTCACTCTAACACTCACATTCAGACTCGCTCTGTTTCAGAATCACTCAAATTCAGATCGATTCACATTCTGATTCGCTCATACACAGACCCACTCGTACTCAGACTCAGTCACATCACTCCCCCCTCGTACTCATGCGTACTCAGACTCGCTCTTCCCTCGCGCAGACTCAGCCACATCACTTCCTCAGTCAGACTTACGCGTGATCAGAGTCACTCGCGCGCACAGACTGTGAGGATGTCTCAGGCGAGGCGCTAGTTTCAGCATCCCAGCTTGTGAGGATGTTTCAGGCGGTTTACTTGTTTGGGTGCCCAACATCCTTTACTTTCAGAGCAGGTTGTGAGGATGTCTCAGCCGACGCGTTGGTTTCAGCACTCCAAAGGGGATCCGTCAGCGGGTATTCAATTCCTCCGTTCATGCCCAGAATGTGGGGATGCTCTGGGTGGTTTAATTGCATGTTTGAGTGCCCCGCATCCTTTGGTTTCATAGCAGGGTGTGGGGATGTCTCAGGCGGTTTGCCTGCTTCTGCCCCCCAGGGAGTTTTTTTTTGTGGCCCAATGCCCACCGCGATGAAGCAGACGTGGCACTTGGGCACCCCCAGGGGGAGCCGGCAGGGGCGGGCGGAGGAGGAGGAGGAGGAGGAGGAGGAGGAGGAGGGTTTGCCTCTTTTTGCCCCCCCCCCCCCCCCCGACTTTGTCATTTTTATGGTCCAGTGCCTTCCGCGATATCACAGGCGTGGCATGTGGGCACCCCGCAGTGGGAGCCGCCAAGGGTTGGGACACGGTAGGGTTCGTGTTCAGATTTTTGGGGGGTGTCTCAAGCGGTTTGTCTGTTTCTGCCCCCCCAGCTTTCCTTTGGATTTGTGTGCTCATCACTCCCTCACTCAGTTCCTTCCCTTTATCCCCATACCAACCCACTCATTCGCACTCGGACTTACTCATCAACACCTCTTCCTTACTCAGACTCACTCATCACATTCAGACTCGCTCATACTTGGATTTGATCATATTCATAATCACACATAGCTACTCGTTCATATTCAAACTCGCTCAAACTCAGACTCACCTACACCCAGGCCAACGCACGCTCAGACTCACTCGCACTTGACCCACCAGCCCTGATATTCATTCGTATTCAGACTATCTCGCACATAGGGACATTCATACTCATTCAAACTCAGACCCACCCACACTCAGTCTCACTCTCACTCAAACCCACTCGTGCTCAGACTCGCTCGCACGTAGCCTCACTCATACTCAGACCCACTCGTACTCACATTGACTCTGTCCAGGCCCAAACACATTCAGGCTCGATCATATCTGGATCCATTCACACTCCGATTCGCTCACACTCACATCACTCACGTTCATATTCATTCGTACTCAGGCTCACACACATGGTTACGGCGATATAGCCTGCGTGACTCTTGGCCGCGGAGGGGGAGGAAGAGGAGGAGGATGAGGCGGAGGGGGAGGGGGAGGGGGAAGACGAGGAGGAGGAGGACGAGGACGAGGAGGAGGAGGAGGCGGAGAAGGAGGAGGAGGCGGAGGAGGAGGATGAGGAGGGGGATGGCGAGGTGGAGGGGGAGGGGGAAGAGGAGGAGGAGGAGGAGGAGGAGGAGGACGAAGACGAGGAGGAGGAGGATGAGGAGGAGAAAGAGCAGGATGAGGATGATGATGATGATGAGGAGGAAATAATAAGAACAATGCTAATACTATTACAATCAATGTTGATAGTTTCCTCTCTCTATATTGAAAAATAGAGTAATCATATAATTAAGAAGAACGTTGCTACTACGAGTGCTAATACTAATATAAACAGGTCGTCATGACAATATTACTGCTAATAATACGGACAATAGTAGTCGTTGTAATCTTGATCCTAATAGCAGGAACATGCGAATACTAATACTAAGAATAATACCAAGATGACTAACGATACTAATACTGAGGTTCGTGAGAAGGCGAATGCGAATCTTAAACACATTATTATTAAGGAGAAGGCAAACATTACGTCAACTATGCATTTATAATATAACGGATACTACTGATAATAAAAGACAAATCACAATGATGATACATGCTATTAGCGACCATAATACTGATGATAATACTACGAAGAATAGAAGGAGGAGGAGGAGGAGGAGGAGGAGGAGGAGGAGGAGGAGGAGGAGGAGGAGGAGGAGGACGAGGAGGAACATAAGGAGGAGGAGGAGGAGGAGGAGGAGGAGGAGGAGGAGGAGGCGGAGGTATCGTTTCTGATGTCAGCAGCCCGACCGAGCGCAGGCCCCCCGCCAAGGGCGGGAACGTGCTCGCGCCTCTCTCGCGGCTCGCGCTCCCGGGCCGGGGAGCCGCCCCTCTCCGGGGCGGCCCCGCGAGGGCGCGAAGGGCCCCGCGGTGGCCCCAAGGAGAAGTACATATTTACGGTGGGGGCCCAGGCCTCCTCCTCCTCCTTCTCCTCCTCCTCCTCCTGGGGCCAAGAGCCGTAGTCATGTGACGCCGTACCTGTGCACGCATAAGGATAAGTTTTATGATCCTGTGCTTGACGCCACCGTTCCACTCGTGCATCGTTATTGCTGTTGGGTGTGGGACGGCCGCGCTAAAGATTCCGACATGCGCTGTGCGTGGGGGCAGGCCTCGAGAGCTCTCTCGGCGGCCCCGCATTGGTCTAGAGTCAGAGGGCCTGTGGGAGCTGTCATGCTCTCGCTGCAGCGAGTCGGATGGGATCTAGTTGGGCCGCATCACATTAGGACGGACCATAATGAAGTTCTTTGCTGCGCACGTCTCCCTCGGATGTGCGACATTTGCTGCGTGAAGGAATTAGCAGAGCCCAGGGGATCCAGCTGGTGTCGAGTCTCCCCGAGGCCCAGGGGCACGAGGTCGTCTGGGTCAGGGCTCTTCGGCTGGGGTTCCAGAGGCTTCAAGGGGCCCGCAGGGCGTGTCTCAGGGCCCTTTGGGCGGGGGCCATGTGGCCCCCAGCCCGCAAGTTTCAGCACGGATACTCTGCCAGCAGCAAGTGCGACTTCTGCGATCATCCGCAGGGGACTTTTGGTCACCAGTTCTACGAATGTGAAGGACTCTGGGCAGTGAGCGAAGACCCAGACGCGAGCTCTGCAATGCCAGACTCGTGCTTTGAGCATAGGAAGTGGCTGAAAGAGCAAGCGTATGGGATCCCTCCCGACTTCGACACTCCTGAGTTGGTTTATGGTTTGCCCTCTCTCCCTGTTGAGATCCCTGCGGTCGCTGCTCAGACGAAGGTCTTCTCGTGGGGCGCTGAGTCTGCTCCGTGGGGCTTTCGTGTGTACACTGACGGGAGTGGCCTGGCGTCGGGAACCCCCGAGGCCACTCGCTGTGGCTGGTCGGTTGTTGCTCTCTCTCCTGGGGGATGACCTGTGAAGGCTGAGTTCGGGGCCCTGGCGGGGCCTGTCCAAACGGTCCCGAGGGCCGAGCGCCAGGCTATCCTCCATGCTTTGAAGGTCGGGCCGTGGGGCCTCGAAGTTGTTTCAGATCACCTGTCGGCGGTCAAAGAAGGGAACTCGTGGGACCTTGGTTTGGCAGCTGGCAGAGGCACACACGCCTCGGTGTGGAGGCAAGTTTTTCATTTGTACCAGGGCAGGGCCGAGCGGCCTGCTTTCCGCTGGACGCCTGCCCACCAGGATTTGTTTAAGGTCCTTGAAGGCCAGGCGTTCTCCTGGGATGTTGTCGGTCGTAGTGTCGTTGATTGCATTGGGAACGCCTGGGCCGACTTCTTCGCGCGACTGGGGGCGAGTGAGCACCAGCTGCCTGAGCTGGTCACCTCTGTGTTGCGGGAAACAATCAAGGATTGCTATAAGACTCTGGATTTCCTGTCGCGGGTGGCGCAGCTAGCTGCTGCCGCAGCCCCAGACTTGCCCACACCCGTGCGGGTTAGAGGGGACGGCATCCCTCGACTCGCCCTTCTCTCTCACGATTTGGAGTTGGTGGAGCGGGTCTCTGAGGCGGTGAGGTAAACGTGGTGCCACTGTTCGGCGCGGACGGCCTTGAGCAGAAAAAAGTTCGAGCAGCCTGGTGCGAGATGTGCCCCGTCCCCCCTCCACCTGTTTCTTTCTGCTGTGCGTGCCTGGCGGCGCGGAGGCGCCCTACCCAGGGCGCGATGTGTCGCCGTCCAGGATACCCTCAGGGCGCTGGGGCTCGAGTCCTCCATTGAGGCCCCGATGGAGCCCCCTGACACCATCGTCTACGAGGGTCATGTTGTGTAGGCGTCTGGCCGCTACTTGATTTGCCGCCGCTGTGCGGCGCACTGCCTTGTTGAAGCGCCGAGCTGGCGGAAGCTCCTCGCCCCGTGCTCTGGTGCGGCGTCTTCGGGCCAGGATTGGTTCAGGGACGAGGTGCTGGCTGGACGTGAGCCGCGCCCACCGCCCGCTCCCGCGTAGGGCCGTCGCCTGGCGTCGGCACTGCGCAGGACTGGGCGTTGGGTGCGGCTCTGCGCGCCCGTGCGCGCTTTTAGTGGGTGTGGGACTTGCCTGCACCCCTTGAGGCACGGTCTCTTTCTTGTCTTTTCGGCAAGCTTCCGTCCTCGGATGCTAGACCTTGGTTGCCCCTTGCCCCTCCTCCTCCTCCTCCTCCTTCTCCGCCTTCTCCGTCTCCGCCTCCTCCTCCTCCTCCTCCGCCTCCGCCTCCTCCTCCTCCTACTTCTCCTTCACCCCCCTCCAGTGGCAACGTTTGGGGGAGACGTAAAGCTGAGGGCGACGACTCCATACATGCAGTGGGGGCCCATGCCAAGAAGCACCCTGCTTGCCTCCAGGGTGCCCTTGGTTTCTCGGTTTTCGATGCTTCGTGACGGAGAGCGTGACGTTCCCACGCGTGAAACCAACGGACGTCCTGGGGTCTCAGGGTTGGGCTTCTTGTGGAAGGTTCCTTGTGGTCGAGCCCGTACTGTAGCTTGGGCCGCTGTCGGGGGGCAGCGCGGTTTCCGGGGCCAGTTCCCAATACGCTCGGCCGTTTCGCCTGATCTGCCGGTAGCAATTCTTCTGACCCCCATTCGCAAGGAACTCAGATCTTAGGCTTGCTTTTACCGACGACTTGGCAGCTCAGGCTTGCTCTTACTCTACGAGCAGTGCCCCCTGCTCCGTCACCCCAGATACGCAGATCGCGTTCGCTGCCCCTCACCGAGCTGCAAGAAACAGCTCTCCTGCTGATGCTGCCCCTGCCTCCTACCCCTTCCTCCTTCCTGGGCCTCCTCCTTCCTGCCTCTTCCCGGGCCTCCAACCTTCCTGCCCCTTCCTGCCCCTGCCCCTTCCTGGGCCTCCTCCTTCCTGCCCCTTCCTCCTCATCTTCCTCCGTGTTTCGCTGCCGCCTCGTGGAGTCCCCCTCCCATCAGTGGGCAAGCCGGCAGTTCTCAGGATCTCGATCCCTCCCTGGGGCCACCCGGTGATCGTTTTTTTATTCGATGTTTTGCCGATCGGCGCGGGCCCCAAACACCTCTCCTCCCCCATGGAGTAGATCTTGGCTGTTTAGGGCGCCTGTTTTGAACAAGTGGAGTCCCTCCCCCTCCGACGCACGGTTCTAGACAGCCGCACTAGGCAGAGGTCCAGAGCCAGACCCCCCCACTCCCCCCCATTCCGCCCAATGTCGAAACGCCGGATAAGAAAACGCTGACCTGGGCGCTCAGGACATCCGGCAATCGGAGGAGGGAGGAGGGAGGAGGGAGGAGGGAGTCTGGGATGCTGATGCCCCTCCGCCCTGGGCGGCTGCCTCTGGCGTGCGCAGGCCAGCGTGCAGGCCAAGCCCGAGGTGCAGGCCCCCGGCTGCGCCTGCGAGCTTCGGCCGCCGTTGCCGCCATCACCGCCGCCGCCGAGGGGCCGAGCTGCGGGCCCGTGGAGGAGGGAGCGTCGACAAGAGACTTTGGCTGCCTTCGGCCTCCGGTGGCCTGATGAGGAGGCGAGGAGGAGGAGGAGGAGGAGGAGGAGGAGGAGGAGGAGGAGGACGGAGGAGGAGGAGGAGGAGGAGTGGAGGGAGGAGAGGAGGAGGAGGAGGAGGAGGAGGAGGAGGGGAGGAGGAGGAGGGAGGAGGAGGAGGAGGAGGAGGAGGAGGAGGAGGAGGAGGAGGAGGAGGAGGAGGAGGAGGAGGAGGAGGAGGAGGAGGAGGAGGAGGAGGAGGAGGAGGAGGAGGAGAAGAAGAAGAAGAAGAGGAATAATAATAAGAATAATAAGAATAAGAATAAGAATAATAATAAGAAGAAGAAGAAGAAAACGAAGACGAAGAAGAATAATAATAAGAAGAATAAGCAGAATAATAATAATAATAATAATAATAATGAGACTAATAAGAAGAATAATACGAATAAGAAGAATAATAATAATAATAATAAGAAGACGAATAAGAATAATAATAATAAGAAGAAGAACAATAAGAATAATACGAAGAATAATAATAATATGAAGAAGAATACTAATAAGAATAATAATAAGACTAATAATAAGAAGAAGAATAAGAATACTAATAATAATAAGAAGAATAATACTAAGAATAATAATAATAATAGTAATAATAAGAAGAATAATAATAAGACTAAGAAGAATAAGAATAATAATAATAATAAGAAGAAGAAAAAGAAGACTAAGAAAAATAAGAATAATAATAATAATAAGAATAATAAGAATAATAATAATAAGAATAACAAGAATAATAATAATAAGAATAAGAATAATAATAATAAGAAGCATAATAAGAATAAGAAGAAGAATACTAAGAAGAAGGAAAAGACGAAGAAGAATAAGAAGAAGAAGAAGACGACTAATACTAATAAGAAGAAGAATACTAATAAGAAGAAGAATAATACTAATAAGAATAATAAGAATAATAAGAAGAAGCAGAAGCAGAAGCAGAAGCAGAAGAAGAAGAAGACGAAGCAGAAGAAAGAAGAAGAAGAAGAATACTCAGAAGACGAAGAAGAAGAAAAATAAGAAGACGAAGAAGAAGACGAAGAAGAATAATAATAAACATGAGAATAATAATAATAATAAGACGACGAATAATAATAATAATAATACCAATAATAATAAGAATAAGAAGAATACGACGAATAATAATAAGAAGAAGAAGCATACGAAGAATAAGAATAATAATAAGAAGACGAAGACGAAGAATAATAATAAGAAGAAGAAGACGAAGAATAATAATAAGACTAATAATAAGAAGAAGAAGACGACGAAGAAGAAGACGAATACGAAGAAGAATACTAAGAAGAAGAAGACGAATAATAATAACAATAATAATAATAAGAAGGAGAATACGAAGAAGAAGAATAATCAGAATAATAATAATAAGAAGAAGAAGCAGAAGCAGACGACGAACAAGAATAATAATAATAAGAAGAAGAAGACGAATAAGAAGAAGAATAATAAGAATAATAAGAAGAAGAATAATAAAAATAATAAGAAGAAGACGAATAATAAGAAGAATAATAATAAGAAGAATAAGAAGACGAATAATAATAATAATAAGAAGAATAAGAAGACGACGAATAATAATAATAAGAAGAAGAATACTAAGAAGAATAACATAAGAATACTAATAATAATAAGAGGAAGAATACTAATAATAAGAAGAAAAAGAATAATAATACTAATAAGAAGAATAATAATAATATTAAGAAGAATAATAAGAAGAATAAGAATAATAATAATAATAATAATAATAATAATAATAGTAATAATAATAAGAAGCATAATAATAAGAATAAGAAGAATAAGAAGACTAAGAAGAATAATAATAATAATAATAACAAGAATACGCAGAATAATAATAAGAATAATAAGAAGAATAAGAAGAAACATAATAATAAGAATAAGAAGAAGAATACGAATAATAATAAGAATCGTAAGAAGAAGAATAAGAATAATAATAATAATAAGAGGAGGAGGAGGAGGAGGAGGAGGAGGAGGAGGAGGAGGAGGAGGAGGAGGAGGAGGAGGAGGAGGAGGAGGAGGGAGGAGGAGGGAGGAGGAGGAGGAGGAGGAGGAGGAGGAGGAGGACGGTTGCAGGCCCAAAGAGGCAGAACAAAACCGTGGCGCTCAATTAAGCGCGGGCCAACGTGCCCTGGCCAACGGCCAAAACCAAGAGCACACGCGCAAAAGGGGGGGATCACGGACACAAGCTGGGACCTGACCTCTGGCTCCTCCTCCTCCTCCTCCTCCTCCTCCTCCTTCTCCTCCTCCTCCCTCCCCTTCCTCCTCCTCCTCCTCCTTCTCCTCCTCTTCCTTCTCCTCCTCCTCCTCCTCCTCCTCCTCTTTGACGTTGCGCCAACTTGAATCCTCGGATATTAGCGTTCTTCTCCTCCTCCTCTTCCTGTTCCTCGTTCTCGTCTCTCTCCTCGTCCTGGCCATCCACCTCGACCACCTTAGACTTTCTTTCGCTGGGCAGAATCGCGACGGGAGTTTTTCTCACTCTCGGCCTGCGTGCCGCAGAGCCGCCGCAAGACGGCCCAGGATGGAAAGCCGGCCCTGGGAAAGGAGTCTAGACCTATGGGAGTCGACGACATGAACAAATCATGACGTTGGGGGTTTGGGGAGGATCAGGAGGACTAGGACGAGTACGGGATGATTTGGCCCTGCCTATTCTTTTTTTCCGCGCCTTCTGTTTTACCTTTTCAGATCGAGTATGTAGTTTGCACGCGCTCTCAAGTTTTTTCAGGGCGCATTCAGATGCTATAGTTTTCGTTCGCCAAGTTCCGAGCAACTTAAACTGGAGGGGAGGAGGAGGATGAGGCGGTGGCGAGGACGACGAGGAGGGAGAGAAGGATGAGGCGGGGGACCAGGAAATAGAAGCAGTGCAAGTCTCAGGACTGGAGCCACCAGAGGCGGCGCGGCCTTGGTTCATCTGCGCAGGCTGGAGGATGAGGAGGACGAAGACCAGAGTAAACCCAAGATTCGAGATCTCAGGCGAGGCTTCCATAAAGGAGCTGCCCTCCATTTGCGTAACTGTCACATCCTTGTGCATTCATGAGGCTTATTCCATTCCGCCGACCTCCTGAAGAGAATCAATGCCTGTTCCGATTTCGTATGTGATGCCTGCCACTTCCCGTCGTGCTGCTTGCGTGCAGTTATGGCTGATTTGCCCTCCCACACAGAGTTCACTTCTGAATGCTTCTCCCAAGAGATGGTATATGCTTCTCCCAGGAGCCCGCCCCCAACGGGGGTTGGTTGATAGACTTCGCGGGCGGGTACACGTGAGAGGGAGAAAGAAAGGAACGTCAAAGCAGAAAGCCACACCACATGTTCGCAATCTGGTCGTCGTCGTCGTCGTCGCAGCAGCTGCCGCCGCCGTCGTCGTCGCCGCCGTCGTTGTCATCGTCGTTGTCGTCGTAGCAGCCGCCGCCGCCGCCGTCGTCGTCGCCGCCGCCGTCGTCATCGCTGCCGCCGTCGTCGCCGCCAGCGTCGCCTCCGCCGCCGCCGCCGTCGTCGCCGTCGCCGCCGCTGTCGTCGTCGTCGCCGCCGCCGTCGTCGTCGTCGTCGTCGTCGTCGTCGTCGTCGTCGTCGTCGTCGTCGCTATCGCCGGTATCCACTGTCGCTGTCGCCGCCGTCGCCGCGGCCGCCGCCGCCGTCGACGCTAGTCGAGCAAGGAGCGGCGCGGGCGGCTCTGCCGTCAGCGCCCGCGCTCGCAGCTCGGGCGCCGCGCGAGGCGCACGCCGCGCTGGAGCCGCTGGTGGTCCTGGCGCCGGTCCTCGCCGCGCAGTGGCAGCAGGCTCCGCAGGCCAATCCTCCTCCTCCTCCTCCTGCTCCTCCTCCTGCCTCCTCCTCCTCCTCCTCCTCCGCCTCCTCCCTTCTCCTCCTCCTCCCTCCTCCTCCTCCGCCTCTCTCCTCCTCTCCTCCTCTTTCTCCTCCCTTCCTCCTCCTCCTCCTCCTCCTCCTCCTCTCCTCCTCCTCTCCTCCCTCTCCCTCCTCTCTCTCTCTTCCTCTCCTCTCCCCTCTTCTCCCTTCCTCTCTCCTCCTCCTCTCCTCTCCCTCTCCCTCCTCCTCCTCCTCCTCTCCTCTCCTCCTCTCTCTCCTCTCTCCTCTCTCCTCTCTCCTCTCTCCTCTCTCCTCTCTCCTCTCTCCTCTCTCCTCCTCCTCCTTCTTCTCCTCCTCCTCCTGAAAGCCTCGCGTCCCAGCCGCGGAGGAAGCTGGAACGAGTGTCGGGGGACGATGGAAGGGGGTGGTGGGGGCCAGGGGCGGGTGGATGTCGTGGCCGGGGACCCCCTTTCTTCTTCTTCTTCTTATTCTTCTTCTTATTCTTTGGACTCGAGTCTGCTCCAGCCCAGGCCAGTGTTTCCAGCCATGCCCACTTCTGGTTTCAACGTGTTTCCAATTTCCCTCTTTCCAGCTTCCCTGTACGCTCGCGAAGGGGGAGGAAGACGAGGAGGATGAGGAGGATATTCCATTGCCATTAGCAGCAAATGCTGATTTCTCGACGCGGATATCCACACTGCGCATCGCATTATCCTGTCACGTCTCGCGAAGGAATTCCGTCTGTGAGCTTCTGGGTGTGAGTGCGAGGCCGCGTAGACGACGGGCGCGACAACGACGACGCCAGCGATAACTTCAGTCACGTTCTCCTCCCCTGGGCTTTGCTCAGGAGAGATGAGCGAAACAGGAGTGGAAGAGGGAGGATAATTCTTCGTGCCGTTCTCACTGTGGCAATTCGGGTTAGAGCGCATGGCGTTGCTATGCCCGCTCTCTGGCGTGCTAGTGGCGGCGACTGCTGGCACTTGGGGTTCCCAAGTGCCACTCTTGCTACATGATGGTAGCCACCTTTGTGCTCTAACGTCAATGAAGCTGAAGGTGAGTGATCTGATTCTTAGTGAGTCGGAGTGGGAGGGCATCTGGGTATGATGTAGTTTGTGTGTGCGGGAGGTGTCAGTATAGTGAGTCGGAGTACGTGTTGGTCTGGGTAAGAGTGAGGCTGAGTGTAAGTGAGTCTGAGTGCGAGTGGATATGAGTGTGAGTAAGTTTGAGTGCGAGTGAGCGCTGGTACGCGTAAGATGAACATGGGTTTGCGTATGAGTAAGTTTGAGTACGCGTGAGTTTGACAACGAAAGGCTCTGAGGGTGAGTGAGTTCGGGCGTGAGTGAGTCTGAATGTGGATTGGGCTGGGTGTGGGTGAGTCTGAATTCTGGACGCTTCGCGTATCCCCACCAGCCCGTGCGGGGTAAGCTGCCTGCGTTGTTCGCCGACGACGTGGTCCACCCCTAGGCGGGAGCCATCATCGTGCTCCTGGTACTGCACAAGTGGTTCATCCTTTGACTGTACTCAGGCTCTCCTACGGGTTGGTCCATGGTGCTCGGCCACACCTGCTGCCGTTCCCCTGACACTCCGGGTCAGGCAGTCAGGGTTCAGACTCCGCGACTGGATCGACGTCAGTGCATTGGTCGGTGGCTCACGTCGGATCGCGCCCAGGAGTCCAAGTGAGTGAGGCTTACCTTGCCACCCCTCTTCTGCCCGCGCTTTCCCATATCTCTCGCCTCGTAGTGGTGAGCAGTGCGGCTTCACGTGCCCACTGTCCTGCCGCTTGGCTGACATGCCCCAGCCTGTGCTCTGTGGACTGGACAGTTTGAGCTGGCGCCACTGTGCGACTCCTTTCCGTCTACTCCAGTCTGGTGCTTGCTTTCCCGTCCGCGGGTTGCTCGCATCTTAATGGGGGGCATTTTGCCTTTTGCAGGTGCACCTGTTGCGTCGGCCTAGGCGCCTTCGTAACCAATTATCTCGCCCTGTGCCCCAGACGCGCCCGCCCCGCTTCTCGGACTCTTCCTTGGAGCCGCCAATCAAAAAAACATATCCCCACCAGCCTCCCGTAATGGTGACTGTTAGTCACTTCGGTGCCGCCCCAGTCCCTGGCCACACGTTCAGTGTTTCCCCTCTCCCCACGTCCCCCTGCGTTTCTTTTCGCGGACAGTGTGACCGTTAGTCACTTCCCTGGCAGTGCCCCCAGCGCAGTCACGCCCGCGGCTGAAGGCATCCCCCACTTGCTGGGGGAGTGAGGATTTCATGTTGGGACGGGCAGCCGTTAGCCGAAGTCGTCCCAGGTGTGCTCCTATCTCTCCGGCCCCTCACGACCGGGTCCGGTCACCCCACAGCGGTTGGCCAGCCCCCGGCCCTTGTGGATCAGGCCCCTGGCGCTGTCAATACTTGGCACGAGGCCCTGGCTGGGGCGAGGCGCAGGGTGCCGACACACGGCCCGCTCGTTTGCTGTAGCAGTGTTCGCCCTGGCCTTCACCGCACCTGGTTGCAGCGAGTTACAGACCCCCGGTGCTAGTCCAGAACCGTCCGGTGTCGGCCCCAGTACGACCCCTGGCTCGGCCTCCCCGCCCTTCGGGACCCGGCCCCCAGGGGCCGTCAATACCGGGTACGCGGGCCCTGCTAGAGCGGAACGCTGCGTGCCTCTCGGCCCCGGCCGTTTGCTGTAGTTGTTTTCGCCCTGGCCTTGTCATGGCCTGGCTCAGTATCCCTGGCACTGGCCCGTCTTCGTGGCGTCTCCGAATCACGCGTCTTGTCTCGGGCTCCTGGGCTCCGGTTGCCGCCGCCCTCGGTGCTTGCGACCCCGCTTTGTCCTTCTCGCTTGGCACCCATCTGGTTCCGTGGAGTCGGGTGTGGCACCCTGGCGCTCAGGGCACGTGTGTCCTGACCAGTTCCGGCACGAGTGCTTGCACTCCCTTGGAATTTGGTCCCCAGTCACCGCCACGGCTGGCCGTGTCTGTTGGTGCTGCTGGCCCTTTGGGGTTTCGGGCCGCCGGTTCACTCAGGAGTGGTTCAGCCTTCTTGTACGACCACGCGTGCTCCGCTCCCCCATCGGTCTTCTGCCTGCACCGTGGATTATTACGCAGCCCCGCGCTTCGCCACGTCCGTGGCACGCCGACCTCTGGCGCCTGGTCGCGACAAGGTCCAATTCACGTACCTGGTGGTCACGCCCCTGGATTACTTGCACGCTTGCAGCTTCTTGGCGACCCCAGCAGCTTGCAGTCCCCGCCTACGGCGCTGCCCCGCTCCCCCTGCGTTTACAGCATCTGCCCTCGGCGCAGCAGGTCCCCCTGGCGGTAGGTTCTGTCGGTCTCTGCGCGCGCTGGCAATTAGTTCCGTTCGTAGCCCGAGTCGACTCGACTCGCCGCTGGCGCCTTCGTGTGCGGTTGCGACAAAAAAATCCCCACGAACCCATCCAGAAACAATCAGCAGGGGAGTTGGTGAATCAGTGGCGGCAGGACGCATGCAGTCGCGCAGCCGTCTTCGGGAAAACAAAGATCACACATAGCTTCCCGCATGGAAGTCTAAGATGGAAATCGGTACAAGCCACGATGGTGCTTCGATGAGGGGTGAGGGGTGTTTCGATGACTCGTAATGGCTGTTGCACTGATTTGTAGCTTAAACTCGCGTGCGTTTCGAAACTTGGAGGCATCTTGGGGCTCTCTTGGGGTTCTCTTAGGCCCCTCTTGGGGCCTCCTGGGGCTCTTTCTTGGGGCTCTCCTGAGGTCCTCTTCGGGCCTTCTTGGGGCTGTTTTGGGGCCCTCTTGGGGCCCTCTTGGGGCTCTTTTGGGGGGGTATGGGGGTTCTCTTGGGGGGTCACTTGAAACCGTTTTGGGGCCGTCTTGAGGCCTCTTGGATGCGTGCCGGAGGCTGTTTTGAGCCATCTACCGCTATCTTGGGCCATCTTGGAGGCCATCTTGCGCTTTTTGAGGCCCTCTTGGAGCCATCTTGGGCCATCATGGACGCTGCTATGGGTCGGGCCCCCCCCCCCCCCGTCCAAACGCATGGAGGGGGGGAGGTAAACCTCCCAAGCAGGGAAAGGAAAGAGGTTGGAGAAGGAAACACCCTAGACCACCTGAGCCCAGAGGGCTGGTGGGATTTGTCGAGGTCCGGATACGAGTGGGTCAAAGTATGAGTGGTCTTGAGAACGAGCGAGTCTCACTGTGGATGAGTCTGAATGTGATGAGTGAGTCTGAGTGAAGAAGGCCTCGCCGAGAAGCTTTCCGGGGGTGCCCCAGACGGTCTCCAGAGGCCCGGGCTGTGGCCTGAGGTCGTGAAAGCACGGCGGCGGGCCTTTCGCCGCCGTTTTCGGCCTCCTGGGGGCGTTCGCTGGGCCCCAGGGCCGTTGAGGAGCGGTTCGGGATGCAGAGCGGCCGATGCTAGACGGTTCGGGACCGATAGAGGAAAAAGTTCCCCCAGGGTGGCCCGACGCGTCACGAGCGGCCGCCAGAGGCCCGAGCTGTGGCCCGAACGCCGCCTTGGAGGAGGGGGGGCCTGCACCTCTCGTCGTGCAGAAGTTTCGGCGGGAGGCTTTCCTACGTCTTCGGCCTCCCAGCCCCTGGGCCCTCGGGGGACGGCTCGGCGCAGCTCGAGCCAAACGGTGTTTTGGCGATTTCGTGGGCCGCTTTCGTTTTCACTTCGCCCCGCAGCAAAGAGGCAAAACGAAGACAGCGCGAAGGAACACCGAAGACAACGAGGACGAAAAACACAGTTTGGCTCGAACCGGCCCCAGGAAAGGCGTTGTAGGTCTCTGGGGGTCCACGTGGGCCTCCCAGATGCCGTGCTTCGGGTCGCGGGCGATGCGCGTGTCCGCATCCGCGGCCTCGTGGGCCGTGCCGTCTGGCCACGACCCCGCGCAATCAGGGCGCTTTTTTGCGGATCTCCCGCGTGGGACGTGTCCCTGCGACCGCGTATTTGCAGATCGCGCCCCGGAATCCAAACCGCGATGGTGCGGATACGATCATGTTTGCCGCTCGTGATCGAGCTAGAGTTCCGAGTTAGAATATGCCCATACCGCTGTCCACTCTTCGTCGCCACGCCTGGAATTTCCCCGACTTGCTGGTCAGAATGCGCGCCAACAGAGTCAATGGGAGCAGCGGCATCGGCATCTTTTCTCTTCTTCAAGAGTGGCATCGCAGTAGGAGGAAGAAGAGGAGGAGGAGGAGGAGGAGGAGGAGGAAGAGGAGGAGCCGGAGGAGGAAGAGGAGGAAGAGAGGAGGAGGAGGAGGAGGAGGAGGACGAGGAGGAGGAAGAGGAGGAGGAGGAGGAGCCGGAGGAGAGGGGAAAAAAGGAGAAGGAGGAAGCGGAGGAGGAAGAGGATGAGGAAGAGGAGGGGGCGGAGGAGGAGGAGAGGAAGGAGGTGGTGGAGGAGGAGGAGGAGAACGAGGAGGAGGAGGAGGACATATAATATAATCAATACTAGTAAGAATAATGCTACTTGTCAGAAGAATAACAAGCATCTACTACTACTACTACTACTACTACTACTACTACTACTACTAGCAATATCAAATATACCAGTAACTCTAAGAGGAGTGATATTATGTAGAATAATAGCACGAATGGTAGAAATGCGAACCATCATACCAACCATAGTTTTAATAGTACATAACTCTGTTAAAAATGTTACTAAGACTACTAAAGATAATCCGACTAATGATAACTAGAAGCACATAGGAATAGGAATCGTATTACTAATTATAACAATAATAATATAAACCCAATCATAGAACCATAATCGTAATTCTACAACTAGCAATAATGCGAAACACAATACGTTCAACTATACTACGAGATAGTCATAACTCTTATATGAATACTAGTCGTACTAATTCGAAGGGTAGTCCGAATCATACGAATAGTACAAACACATTTACTACTGGTACGACTAATATTACTAGTACTAATAGTAACAATCCTCGTACTACTACTACTACTACTACTACTACTACTACTACTACTACTACTACTACTACTACTACTACTACTACTACTACTAGTACTACTACTACTACTGCTACTACAACTAATCATTACATTAATATCATATAGTGATAATCGTTATATACCGAATAATACTCGTATTGCTACAACTAATCGTACTAGTATCAATAATGATAATCACACGGAAACTAATTATATCAAGAATAATAGTACTCATCCAAATCTACAGAAGAGGAGTAAGGAGGAGGAGGAGGACGAGGAGGAGGACGAGCAGGAGGAGGCGGATGATGATGATGATGATGATGATGATGATGATGATGATGATGATGATGATGATGATGATGCTGATGCTGATGATGATGATGATGATGATGATGATGATGATGATGATGATGATGATGAGAGGAGGAGGAGGAGGAGGAGGAGGAGGAGGAGGAGGAGGAGGAGGAGGCGGACCAGCCTCAACCCCGGCTTGCCCCTGCGTCCAAGAGACCGTGATCTGGACTGGGCGAGATGGTCTTCTCTCTGCTGTTGCTGCTCTGTCCGCCTCCGTCCTCTCTCTTCTTCGGCAGGAGGGCGAGAAAAGGAGGGGTGCGAGTGGCTTGGGGCGGGAGCCCGTGGCTGCAGACAGGGCAGCGGTGACCCCTGTCTTCCGGCGGGAGGATGACGGAGGCGCGCGAAGGGCTAAGGGAGGGTGGGGTGGTGAGGCCCGTGGCTGCAGACAGGGCAGATGGTGGCGCCTGGTCGTGCGCTTCTCCCCCCCCTCCCCGCCGAGGAGGACAGCAAGAAGCAACGCCGGAAGAGCAAGCAGGACGCCCGCCGCGGGACGGAGGGGGGAGGGAGGTGAGGAGGGTGATCTTCGATAGGAACGACCTGGTGCTTCTTAGGTGCCATTGTGGAGGCCATCGGTCAAAAGGGGCGGGGCAGAAAGTAGCCACATCTCCCTCGGAGACATGCGAATTGCCTGTTGGGGCCTTCTTGGGGCGCTCATGGGCGCCTCTTGGAGACTTCTTTGGCAGCCTGGGGGCCCTCTTGGGCTCCTGTTGGGTCTCTCTTGGGCCATCTTTGCGCCATCTTGGAGTTGCAGAGAGCCCATCGGAAGCGAGAAGTCAAGCCAATCTTTTGGTGCGTGTATGCTTATATATATATATATATATGTATATTTATATATGTATACACACATACTCACAAACGTACACGTATATGCATACTTACACATACACATCCACTCACATCTATATACATACATACATACAGACAGACATACAGACACAGACATACATACATACATACGCACATACATCCATACATGCACACACATACACACATACATACATACATACATACATACATACATACATACATACATACATGCAAACACGCGCACACACATTCACACATACATGCATACATGCATACGCACACATCTACCTACGTACATACATAAATACATGCACTCATACATACACACATACATATATTCATACACGCAGGGATACGTACATGCATGCTTGCATACCTACATACAGATGTTCACCCACACATCCATACTTACACATACATACATACCTACACATACATACGTACATACACACATACATGTATGTATACATACATACACACATACATACATACATACATACATGCATGCATACATACATACTTCCGTACATCCATGCATACACTCACGCATCTGTATGTATAAATATACATACGTATAATCTGTATACACATATTATACACATGCATTCACGTACACATGCGTGTATGTATGTACGTATGTATGTGTTTATGTATGTAAGCATGCATGCATGCATGTATGTATGAACGCATGCATATACATTTGTATACGTGTAAGTGTGCGTGTATGTTTGCGTATGTATGTATGTAAACATCCGCGCGTGTATATATATACATTCATCGATATTCACGTATGCGTATTAACTATGTACATTTGATAGTGCCGTGTTTGAAAGCTCTCTTTCATCGTCTTGGGCCATCCTGGAACCATGCTGCGTCAATTTAGATGCCCCCTTTGGGCGGTGCGTCCAGACTCGGGGCAGTGGAGCCCCCGTCCCCTAATAGGGGAAGAAGGGCCTTCGGGAAGGGGGAAGACAATACATCGTTATACCCCTTGTGCCCAGAGGGCTGGTGGGACTACCCAAACAGGCCTAAGCACCAATGCGCAATTCGCAGGGTGTTTGGCCTGTTTTGCAGACGGTCCACGCAGGACCCTCCCCCCCTAACCACCATTCGGGATTACGAAAAGGTGACCTGGATTTATGGGCTCATGTCTTGATGCTTCAGGCTGTTGCCACACACCAGCTCAGCACCAACACCCTAGCCACCATCCCAGAAACTCAAAATGAAATACTGAGGAGGAGGAGGAGGCGGGGGATGAGGAGGAGGAGGAGGAAGAGGAGGAGGAGGAGGAGCAAGAGGGGCAGGAACGGGGGTGGGGGGAGGAGGATATTTTTTGTTGTTGGACTGCATGGCCGGGGATGGGAGGAGGAAGAAGTGGCGAGGAGGGGAACGGATGGCTTCAGGAGAGGGGGAGGGGAGGGAAGGCAAGGAGGGGAGGGGGGTGATAGAGAGTGGCAGGAGGTGGAAGGGAAGAGCACGAGGAGGAGGAGGAGGAGGATGTGGAGGCCCAGACGCCAGGGCTTCTTGCTCATTTTGTTAATTTGTTTTCTATCCCTGAGCGTTCCCCCCTCCCTTTGGCCTTTCCGGGCCGTCTCAAGGGCTGGATGCCCAGATATTTATGAAGAATCTGCCCCACGTGGAAGTGGTCGATATTACCTAACAGCGAAGACTGATAGGTTTCTAGTATTGTCAAAAGAGAGCATCTTTACTCCCCCGGGGGGGTCCGGGCAGGATCCGGGGAGAATCCGCGGAAGTCGTTTTAAGCAAACAGTTACACACTTCGTGGTCTTCGAGGTCCCAGAACTCCATTCCCGGGCCACATTCTGAATGCCCGGAGCCAACTGTAGGCCACTTCGTGCTCTTCGAGTTCCCAGAACTCCATTCCCGGGCCACATTTTGAATGCCCGGAGCCAACTGTAGGCCACTTCGTGGTCTTCGAGTTCCCAGAACTCCATTCCCGGGCACATTTTGAATGCCCGGAGCCAACTGTAGGCCACTTCGTGTCTTCGAGTTCCCAGAACTCCATTCCTGGGCACGATTTTGAATGCCCCTGTAGGCCACTTCGTGTTCTTCGAGTTCCCAGAACTCCATTCCCGGGCCACATTTTGAATGCTGAGGCAGGCTGATGCTGAGGCTGAGGCAGGCTGAGGCTGAGGCCGAGGCTGAGGCTGAAGGCAGACTGAGGCTGAGGCTGAAGCAGGCTGAGGCTGAGGCTGAGGCAGGCTGAGGCTGAGGCTGAGGCAGGCTGATGCTGAGGCAGGCTGAGGCTGAGGCTGAGGCTGATGCAGGCTGAGGCTGAGGCAGGCTGAGGCTGAGGCCGAGGCTGAAGGCAGACTGAGGCTGAGGCTGAAGCAGGCTGAGGCTGAGGCTGAGGCAGGCTGAGGCTGAGGCTGAGGCAGGCTGATGGCTGAGGCTGAGGCTGATGATGCAGGCTGAGGCTGAGGCAGGCTGAGGCTGAGGCCGAGGCTGAAGGCTGAGGCTGAGGCTGAAGCAGGCTGAGGCTGAGGCTGAGGCAGGCTGAGGCTGAGGCTGAGGCTGAGGCTGAGGCTGAGGCAGGCAGGCTGAGGCTGAGGGCTGAGGCTGAGGCTGAGGCTGAGGCTGAGGCTGAGGCTGAGGCTCAGGCTGAAGGCTGAGGCCTGAGGCAGGCTGAGGCTGAGGCCGAGGCTGAGGCAGACTGAGGCTGAGGCTGAAGCAGCAGGCTGAGGCTGAGGCTGAGGCTGAGGCTGAGGCTGAGGCTGATGCTGAGGCAGGCTGAGGCTGAGGCTGAGGCTGATGCAGGCTGAGGCTGAGGCAGGCTGAGGCTGAGGCCGAGGCTGAAGGCAGACTGAGGCTGAGGCTGAAGCAGGCTGAGGCTGAGGCTGAGGCAGGCTGAGGCTGAGGCTGAGGCAGGCTGAGGCAGCTGAGGCTGAGGCTGAGGCCTGGCAGGCAGACTGAGGCTGAGGCTGAGGCAGACTGAGGCTGAGGCTGAAGCAGGCTGAGGCTGAGGCTGAGGCAGGCTGAGGCTGAGGCTGAGGCTGAGGCAGGCTGAGGCTGCTGAGGCTGAGGCTGAGGCTGAGGCAGGCTGAGGCTGAGGCTGAGGCTGATGCAGGCTGAGGCTGAGGCAGGCTGAGGCTGAGGCCGAGGCTGAAGGCAGACTGAGGCTGAGGCTGAAGCAGGCTGAGGCTGAGGCTGAGGCAGGCTGAGGCTGAGGCTGAGGCAGGCTGATGCTGAGGCTGAGGCTGAGGCTGAGGCTCATGCAGGGTGAGGCTGAGGCAGGCTGAGGCTGAGGCCGAGGCTGAAGGCAGACTGAGCTGAGGCTGAAGCAGGCTGAGGCTGAGGCTGAGGCAGGCTGAGGCTGAGGCAGGCTGAGGCTGAGGCTGAGGCAGGCTGACTGAGGCTGTGACTGCGACTGCCGTTGCCACTGCGACTGTCATCGCGAATGCGACTACGACTGCGAAACAGCAGAATTCTACAACTGGATTCTCATCTGAATCTTAAGGGGAATGCTTCCAGGTATGCTCCTACACATCGCTGTTAGGTTGCTTTGCCGGGATAATTTCTTTTGACCCGCAGGCCGAAAAAGGTCACGGATCGACCGGTTGTTGAGTGCTGTTGTCGATCTGCGCGTGTTGGTGAGTTTGCGAGTCGAGACGCCATCTCTGCAGAACACGTCCAGATCACTCGCACTCAATGGCGTTTTGTTCCGTTCTCGGTGTGAGTGTTGCGGAGTCACCCGTGCTCGGAACTTACGTTGCAATGCCCGCCCGCTCGAGTTCCTCCCAAGGCTTTCTCCGCGAAAGGCCATGAGGGATGCCCCCGAGAGAGGGAGGCCCCCGAAATCGGGCATGCACCTCCTTCTTGATTGATGTCGGATCGCGGCCATGCTGAGCGTTCTCTTATTCGACGTTTCGACATTGGGCGGAAGGGTGTGCGGGGGGTGCCTGACTCCGGACCTCTGCTTAGCGCGACTGTTTGCAGCATTGCGTCCTGTGAGGGAGACTCCACCTGCTCGAAACAGGCGCCAACAAAAACAGCCAAGATCTACTCCATGGGGCGTGGGGGAGGGGGGGTGCGAGGGCCCGCGCCGATCGGCAAAATAATGAATAACAAGTAATACTAGCGCTTGGGTTCCGAATCATATGCTGAATGCTGAATGCCCCTTCCCATCTTCTCTTTCACCTCCTCATCCTCTTCTTTACCTGCCCCCCCTCCCACCTGCCTCCGTCTCTTTCCTTCTCTTCCCGCCGCCTGCTGCTCGCATCTTCCTCCTCCCATCTCTTTCTCCTTCTGCTGCTGCTCGACCTCGTTCCGCCGAGAGTGTGTGTGGGACCAGTAGCAGCTGGGGCAGCAGCATAAGCCGCCCCTCCTCGCATCCGCCCCTCTCCTTTTTCCTCTCTCTTCCTGCTGCTCGACCCCGTTCTTTCGAGGAGCGGGCGGGACCAGTGGCAGCTGGGGCAGCAGCAGATCTCTCCCCTCATCGCCTCCGCTCCTCTCCATTTTTTGTTGTTTCTCTCTCTCTCTCTCGCTCTCCCTCCTCCTGGTCCTCGACTTCGTTCCGCCGAGGAGCAGGTGGGACCAGTAGGAGTTGGGGCAGCAGCAGATCTCTCCCCTCAGCCGCGCAAGGTCGCTGTGCCATCTCGCGTAAGACCGGATTTTGATCGTCGCGCACCTGGATGCTTGCTTTTCGTTCTTCCGGTAGCCGTTTCGAGTGATTCTCCCTAACCCAACCTCTGCTCCTTCCCCACCTACACGTCCCCCCGAAAGAGGCAACTGCATTACCCTTCATCTCACCACATCACCCTTCATGTTTCATTCCCGCGCGCTCACGTCTGCAGCGACGGCTACTCAGGAGCGTGCGGTGCCGCAGTGGAGAGCCAATCGCCGACCTATCTGCGATGCATCGACGATTCCAGGGCCACCTTTCCCCATGGAGCCGGTCCCCCCCCATTGCGTTCCCCATCACCCTGCCGCCCGCCCCGATCCTCTCGCCACTTCCGGAGGCTCCCTCCGCCCGGCCTCCTGTCCTGCTCTCCTCCCCGCCTCCGGCCCTTTGGGCACGCGTGCCCCGTCCAGCGCTCCGCCTCTCCGCCCGATTTTTGCCGGACCTCTGCTACAGTGGAGGCCCATGCCAAGAAACACCTTGCTTGCCTCCAGGGTGCCCTGGGGATTCTTGGGTTTCGATAGGTTTGCTATGGAGAGCGTGACGTTCCCGCACCAGAGATCAATGGAAGTCCTGGGGTCTCAGGGTTGGGTTTCCTGTGGAAGGTTTCATGTGGACGGGCTACCACTGTAACCCCCCTGTGTCGTCCGCCACGACCCTTCCGACCTCCCCCTCCGAGGCAGGAATCTATCCAGAACCATTGCCTGAGGGGTCGACCTTCGGGGACGTCGGCGGGCGGTGGATGTGGATACATTCGGGCCCTGGGGAGGCCAAAAATGTCCATGTCTACCGCCCGCTGGGGTCCCAGGACGTCGGTTCCACGGGCGGTGGATATGGATACATGATCGCGGGCTCAGGGCCCACGGCCCCCCCCCAGATGGGATGGGTCGCAGGGTCCTCCGGCCCCCCCCCCCCCAGATGGGATGGGGGAGGAGGAGGAGGAGGAGGAGGAGGAGGAGGAGGAGGAGGAGGAAGGAGGAGAAGGAGGACGGCGACGGCGACGGCGACGGCGACGGCGACGGCGACGGCGACGGCGACGGCGACGGCGACGGCGACGGCGACGGCGACGGCGACGACGGCGACGACGACGGCGACGGCGACGGCGACGACGGCGACGGCGACGGCGACGACGACGACGACGACACCGACAACAACGACGACGACGACGACGACGACGGCGACCGACGACGACGCGGCGGCGGCGACGACGTCGAGCACCGGAGCTGTCAACATGACGCCAATCCCAGCCACACGCCGAACCCACACCGCACCCACAGGGGGGGAGGGAGGGGGGGAGGAGGACCATGGCGTCACCCCGCACACACCCACAGCAACACACCACACCCACACCACATCCACAGAGGGGGGGGGGAGCCACCACGCCACGCCCACGCCCACAGGGGGGGGGCATCGCGCGGGGGGGGGGGGGGCCGATGGCATTAGCATTGGGGGGGGCAAGCCCTCGACCATATATCTCCGCCTCGCACTCCCCGCCGCCCCCTCCGGCAAGTCCTCCACGGAGTTCGCCCCCGCCGTCGCTGGCGCGCCGCCCCAGCCAGCCTCCGTCGTCGCGCCCAGGGGGGGAAGGGGGGTTGCTCTCGGCCGCAGGCTCGGGAGCGCTCGCGGCGAGAGCGGGGAGGGGACTGGAAAGGAGGGACGGGGGGGGGGAAGGTCCTCCTCCCCCTGCTCCTCGGAGGCTCTCGGAGTTTTCCTCGCCTCGGGGTGCGTCCCAGCAGCGGCGCCCCGCCCGAGGCGTCCTGGGGCCCGAGCGGCCGCAGCGGAGGCCCGCGAGCCGTGGCCGGGGCGGCTGCTCGGACGAGGGAGGGCCCGTGCTCCCTCCCGCCGTGCGGAGGCAGGGCCTGCGGGGCCCAAGCGAGCAAGCGCAGTGCCGAGTACGAGACGCACAGGAGCACATCGCCACTGCCGCGCGGCATCGCACCACTTGCGGACTGCGCCGCGCCGCGCCGCGGCCGGAGGAGCGGTATCCTGCCAGGGCGCCGGCAGGGCCTCCACACCCCCGGCTGCCTCGCAGGCGTGCCCGTCAGCTGCCTGGGGCCGCGTCGCCAGGACCTGGGGGCCCACGCGGTGGAAAATCACGACGTCATGGGGAGGGCCGCGGGGCCACGCAGAGGCCGCGCCCCCGCGCGGGCGCCCACCGCGCCCCGCGCGGTCGGCGCCCGCCCCGCTCCCGCCGCGGGCGGCGGGGGCCCGCGCAGGCCGCGCAGGCCGCCAGGCAGCAGCCCGGCGCCCCGAGGATCGCGAGGTGGCCGGCGCAGCTCGTGAGGGCCGTGCGCACCCGCGACAGTCAGCACGCGCAGTGAGGCCGGGCAGCCCTCCCGAGGGGTACCCTTTTCATCCTTGCCTTAGGTCGGGCCTGTCCCCCGACAGGGGGATTTTGGACGAGAAATAAGAACTACCCTAAACATGCTCAAAAGATGCCCAAACAGATTCAAAAAATAGTCCCCAGACTATTTTTGGTCTATTTTTGAATATTCTCCTTGCCCCCTTCGGCCCCTCCTCAGCGACTCTGGCTGGCCAGTCTCGTTCGCAGAAGACGCTCGAGTGGGCCTCCAGTAGGGAACGAGCACTGACATAAACAACGACTCGGAGGTCCGCGCGGCTTTCTCGGATCGGCGCTGGGGCCCCCTGGCGGCGCCTCTGGCGCCGCCCTTGGCGCGTGGAGCGCGCCAGGGTGGGGGGGCCCAGCGCGGATCCGAGAAATCCGTGAGGACCTCAGAGTTTTTATGTTTATGTCATTCTTCGTTCCCCTATCCAAGGCCCTCGCATCCTAACCCGCGCATCCTCATGACACGGGCCGACTGCAGCCGACAGGTCCGATCGGACGCCCGAAAGCGCTACGCCCCACCCGTGGGGACGGCGAAACAGTAAAACAGGCCTGCCATGACGAGAAAGGCTGGCGGCGAGGGAATAAACGCAGGATATAGGATTGGCAGGCGTGCCTGAAGGACGGGCCGACTGCGGCCACCACGCGCCAAGTCACCACTCCACCGCAGAAGCACATGTGCCGCACGGGGCTGTGGATGGGCCGGCCCGCGGACCCGGGGCCAGGCGAGGCGCAGGCCCGCCCACCCGCCCACTCCTCCTCCTCCTCCTCCTCCTCCTCCTCCTAATCGTCCTTTCCTCCTCCTCATCGTCCTTTCCTCCTCTTCCTGTTCCTCCGCCTCCTTCTCTTCCTCCTCCTCATCGTCCTTTTCCTCCTCCTCCTCCTCCTACGCCTCCTGCTCTTCCTTTTCCTCCTTCTCCTCATCGTCCTTTTCCTCCTCCTTCTCATCGTCCTTTCCTCCTCCTCCTCCTCCTCCTCTTCCTCCTCATCGTTCTTTTCCTCCTCCTCCTAATCGTCCTTTCCTTTCCTTCCCTTCCCTTCCCTTCCCTTTCCTTTCCTTTCCTTTCCTTTCCTTTCCTTTCCTTTCCTTTCCTTTCCTTTCCTTTCCTTTCCTTTCCTTTCCTTTCCTTTCCTTTCCTTTCCTTTCCTTTCCTTTCCTTTCCTTTCCTTTCCTTTCCTTTCCTTTCCTTTCCTTTCCTTTCCTTTCCTTTCCTTTCCTTTCCTTTCCTTTCCTTTCCTTTCCTTTCCTCCTCCTCCTCTTCCTCCCGGGAAGCAGGACGGCCAGTGCTGCCCCGCACATCGCAGGCCAGGGGCCGCCATGATGGGGCATTTTTCGCGGCCAAGTCTTCGCATCAGATGTTTGATTGTGGATTGTTTGTCGTGCTCGTTGATATCTTCTCGCGCTCAGGGCAAAGGCCCCCAGAGGCGTTACGAGCTACTGGCGCCGTGACACGGACTCATCCATTGACCTTGCACGCGCACTGTGGTGCCAGCGGACGACCGACAGCAAGATGGGGCAGCCACACGCTGGAGCACATGTAGGGGAACGAACATCGACATGAACGTAATAACTCGGAGGTCCGCGCGGATTTCTCGGATGGGCGCTGGTGCCCCCTGGCGGCGCCTCCGGCGCCGCCCCTGGCGCGCTCCGCGCGCCAGGGAGGGGGGGCCCAGCGCGGATCCGAGAAATGCGCGCGGACCTCCGATTTTTCTGTTTATGTTTTTTTTCCTCGTTCCCCTAGAGTTTTCTGTCTTTCAGTCTATGGATTTTTTTCGGCTTTGTGGATCTTTCTGTTGATGTTTTTTTTGTTGTTGCTGTTTATGGATTTTGTCCGTTTGGATTTTGTTTTCTTTGTTGATGTTTTTTTCCGTTTGTGGATTTTCTTGTTGATGGATTTCTTTATTCTGTTGTGGAATGTTCTGTTGACGGTTTTTTTCTCTGTTTATGGATTTTTCCGTTTGTGGATTGTTCTCCTTCCCCGTAGCACGGGAGGGCCCGCGGTCCAGCACGGCCGCGGCACGAGCGCCGGAGGCTCTGGCCTCGCCGCAGGCGGCAGGTGCCCCCCGCACCTCCGGCCAGGGGCCTCCGTGATGGGACCGCACTGCGGGGCCCAGAGGTAATCCAAAAACCACATTAAAATGATCATGTTGCCCCTCTGTGACAGAGGGGGTGCGTTTGGAGGCCCTCTGTGACAGAGGTGCTCGTCATCCCGTTCCTCCTCATCCTGCTTCTCGATTTCGGATATGTCATGCTACCACTGCGCTCATCATCTTTGCGTCTGTGATCCTCGTAGTGTTTTTTCCATGCGTCCTTTTCACCACATTCTCTTCCGTTGCCGTTCTGCCCCGCCATCTACCTCGTCACTCTCCTTCGTGTGCATATCCTCATTCTCTTCCGCCCTTTTTCCCCCCCCTCTGGTTCGACTTCCCGCTCTTCGTCCACTTCGTTCTTCCTTTTCCACCCCCCTCCTTTCACCCTCTCTGCCGTCAAATCACATCGCGTCGTCCCTCGCCGCTATGCTCAAACCATCCCGCGCCCGCGGGATCGCCCGCGAGCAACGGTGCAGTCGGGCCGCTCGCGGCCTAACGCGCGCCTGCGCGATCGTTTTGCAATGGGCGATGCAGCCGGATGCACATGGGGTGGTGCGGAAGGATGGTGGGCCAGCCGCAGCAGCGGCTGGCGTGGCTGGGAGGACGGCCATGATTGGCCAGCGCGGGGCTGGAGAGAGTGGCGACAAGACGGGAACGCGCCAACGGAGGACGCCAAATGGCGCGATGGCCCTGCCGCCGCGGCAGCGGCGGCGGTCGCGCTTCAACGGCCGTCTCGCTTTGCCGCGCTTGGCGTCTTGAGCCCCCGCGCCCCTGGTCTCGGCATGCCCGAATTCGATAATTTCGTGAGGGCTGCCCTCCGAAACTCACCAGAACCTGGGGGCGCAGTTTCAGGACAGGGGTCGGGATCCCGAGCCGCGCCTGGGGCGCAGGAACCCCGCGCCACCGCAGCGGCGGCGGCGCGCGGGCCCCATAATTTTGACAAGTTTGTTGTCGATTTTTAAGTTGTGAAGAGAGGCTCGGTACTTCGTTCAAGCAACACAACCGAGCGTTGAAATGGTGGCGCAACGTGAAAGAAGACCCAACTGCGCCGTTCGAGTCAGAAACCAAGTGGTTTGACAACGCGGAGCCCACCATGGTCGCTGTTTGCGACCGCGGTGCGAAAACGAGCTTTGGTTTCAGAAGCGACGAGGAAGTCCCTTGGCGGTGGCGAGAGATGGTGGCGACGCTCGGGGAAGAAGATGTCAGGGAGGTCGTGGGGGGGGGGGCCCGCAGCAGCGGGGCTCTGATCGGTTGTTCCCTCGAAGTCAGGCCAAACAGCTACGACCGCATGCGCCAGAGTACTGCGCGCGCGACAATTCGCGGGGCAGCGGGTGAAAGTGAAACTGCCGATGTGGGATTTCGTGTTGCGCCGCGACGGCGGGACAGGCGTCCGCTTGCACCCGCGCTGGGGCGACAGGAAGGTCGAAGCTCTGCCCCTCGTGCCCCGCGCGGACTCGGTGAGGCCACAAGCCGCGGGCTTGGGCGGGGGCGACGGGCGAGGAACACATCGCTGGTCCAAGGGCCTCGGTGTGGAGCGCAAGGTCAAGTTCGACGCCGCCAGAGAGAAGGGGGGGCCTACGCCTTCTCAGGGGCCCCGCAGCAGCGGGGCCGCGGCGCCCAGCACCGGGGCCTCAGCGTCCGGGCGCGACGTGCGAGTTGCATTCGGCGGCGACCCGCGCTTTAGTGGCTGGTGGAGCAGCCGCGGTGGGTGGAGTGGCGGCCAGGGGCACTGGGGGGCCACGACCACACCGCGACCGCCTGTGGGCCGAACGCCCCCCCGAGACCAATCCCTGGGACGAACTTAGCTGAACCATCGCACAGGGGCCGCCCCTCCGCAGCAGCGCAGGGAGGCCTTATCAGTCGAAGGTCGCCCTCTCCGCAGCAGCGGGGGCCTTGCCAGTGCATCGTGAGCGGCGGCGAGTCGCGCGCGCCGTCGTGCTCGGCGACTGCTACCCGAGTGGAGAAGGAAAAAGAAACGGTGCTTTCATCGGTGCTGTCGTTACCTCTTCTCCTTCATCGTTTTCTTCTCCCTCCCCTTCCAATCCCCCATCCCGCCATCGCATTTCATCGTTTCCGATCGTATCGGGAGCTCCCGTGGCAGAAAAG